CTTCTTGTATTCATTCTAGTATTTATCAGATGGTTCTCTGAGATTCTCCTGATAGGAAGTAATGTTTTCTCCAAATAGTAATGATTTATTATTTTTCTCTAAGTTTCTTGTCCCATGTCAAATGGAATCTCTACCTGTACACTTTGGTACCACTGAGGGCTTGGCTATGTTTGGGTGTCCCCCAAAGGTATGTATTAGTTGGGTATAGTGTTGCACACCTGTAATCCCAGCACTCAGGAGGCTGAGGCAGGAGGATTGCTGTGACTTCAAAGCTAGCCTGAGCTACGTAGTGAGTTCCAGGCCAGCCTGAACTAATAGGGGCACTCTGTCTCAAACAAAACAACACAAACATGAATCAAAAAACCAAAAGGTCTATGTTGTAACCTTAATTTCTCCACTCCTGGCAGGGCCAGGAGGCATTTGGGCCATGGCAGTGGAGCTCTTGTGAGGGGTTAGTGGCTTCTCCTAGGAGTGAAGTCCAAGCCCTCCCCAAGGCATCTGCCTGCTTTCCCTTCTATTTTCTGCCCTGAGTTGAAGCAACACAAAGCCCTTGCTGGTCTCAGATGCAGGCTCCAGACCCATGAGCTAAAACTCTATTCCCCTTCCCCCCTCTTCCTTTTTCTTCTTTTTGGCCCTGGGGATTGAACCAAGGTTTTTAACTCTCACTGATCTATGTCTCCAGCCCTTAAAAAAAACCAAAAAAACCTTTTTTATTTATTTATTAATTTTTTTTTTTAGATAAATTCTCACTAAGTTGCTAAGTTGCCCAAGCTGGGCTGAAACTTGGAATCCTGCTGCTTCAGCCTCCCACAGTGCTGGGATTACAGGTTTATCCCACCATGCTCAGCTTAACCCCTCTCTTCTTTATACATTCCTAGTCTCAGTGCTCTATTATAGCAACAGAAAATGGACTATGACACATTTGGAGCAAGGGAGTATGAGCTCATTTGGATGCCAGGTTGAGATGGGGCCCATCACCCCCTCCAGCCCAGACCACTAGGAACACACCTGTGGGTGAACAAGCCAGGATCGTTGCAGTGAGAGAGAACGTAGAGCACAGGAAACTGTGGGTGTCTCAGTAAGAAGGTGAGAAAACCCCGTTGCAGAGTTTGAACTGTCCCTGTGACTTGCTGTGACAAGGTGTGGAGAATTAGACTCCGCCTCTGTGGGGAGGGTGGGCGCCTCTACACTGTACCCTCAGCTTTCCTACCTCAGAGGCTGGAGAATAAGGAGAGGGAAGAAGGTCCTCGAGGTACTTGTGGCTGCTGGGGCCATGCACAGCAGCTGTCCTAGGTGCCGAGTCCCACACTACAGCAGGAAGGTGGAGGGGCCGAACGCTCTGGTCTCCTTTTCCCAGCCTGAGGTCACAGGGAGAAGACAGGGAGGCTGCCAGGGACAAAGTGAATGCTGACCGGACCGCCGTGTCCAGAGCCCAGGCTGCTGCCTAGACCTACACAGGTCCCTCAGTAGCCACACGCTGATGAGTGCCGCTCATGGGGCCTCTGTCCTAGGCTGGGTGGTTGACAGTGCCTGCTCCTCTCAGGGAAACTTCATGTGGATGACAGGGCCATTAGAGGTGTCCAAACTGGGGTGGGGGACCAATCAGAGTGGGCCACCACTCATGCCCAGGACCCACCCTTCAGCATCCTTGTACCCTGGAGTCCAGGGACCTGGGACAGCCTCATATTGGGGCAGGGAGGGGCGGTGCCCACCAGGCAGGCCCCCCCAGGCCTTCCCAGGAAGTGACTGGGCTCCTAGTCCCTGTGGTGCCCAGCCAACCATCCTGGAGTGCATACCTGGCAGTAGGCTGAGGTGACTCCATCTCCAGTGGCCATCCTGTGCCTGAGTAATGGGCCTATGGTCATGGAAAGCAAGTCACTCTCAGCACAAACAGCTCAGAGTGAATGAAAAAGGTCCAGTGAAGCCAGAAGTGGTGGTGCATGCCTGTAATCCCAGCACTTGGGAGGCTGAGGCAGGAGGATCGCTGTGAGTTCGAGACCAGCCTGGGCTACATAGTTCCAGGTCAGTCTCAACTATACAGTGAGACCCTGTCTTACAAAAAAAAAAAAAAAAGTGTCCAGTGAGGCTGGGGTGGCCTTGGCTTACCTTGAAAGTGACCCCATGAGACCTCTGCTCTCCTGACTGCCTTCACTTGCCACACTGGAGCCAAAGAGGGGGTGCTCAAGGGCCAGGAGGCAGAGGGGAACAAGACAGGAGGGTTCCCACAGGAAGGCCTGTCTTTGGCTGGAGAGGAAGTCACTTGTGGGCAGAGAGGAGGACTGGCAGGGGCATCCCAGAAGACAGGCCTTTTTGGGGTCTCTGCTCAGGTGGGGGCTGTGGCATAATTTCTTCTACTCGTGTGTCTGTTATTCCTGAATTATTTAAAGTTTCCAAAGTGCCTTCTCGGATGATGGTTCATTTGATTCCCACAGTGGCCGGGTGAGCTGGCAGTGGCTCAGCCCTGTCCCCTGTGAGGTGGCTGAGGCTGGGGCAACATGACTCATCACTGAGGGAAGGGAAGGAGAGGTGCCCGCTGCACCCGCCGCTGTGTGAGCAGTTTCTACTTCCCTAGCAGATGGGGCTTTGGGCCTCTTCTCTGCCGGGACGTGTCACCCACTCTGGGCTCGGCTGGGGGGCTCCCCTGGGGCCCTGCATGGCGTGGCTTCCGGGCTGTCAGATGTGGCCTTGTCCCATGGCTCCCAGGCCCATGCAGCTGCCCCACTGCTCCACAGCCAAGACGCCAGGAAGCCCCTCCTTCCTGTGCTGCCGCCTCTCCTCGGGCCCCAGGCTCTGGATGGGGACTGGGACATCACTGGGGACAGTCTGGTGGTTCTCTGTGACCCATCCTTCCTATTCCACAGGAACCACGGCTACCAGCTGTCCACAGCCCTGTGGCTGGGCATTGGGGGGCTCTCACGGGAGGACCCTGTGACTGGGCCCAGGAACTGGTGGGCTCTGACGGGGCTGGATAGCTGCGCTGGGGATCCCCAAGGAGGGCCATGCTCGGGCCTCACAGGCAGGATCGCTTCCCCTGCTGGTCCCAGATTCTGCATCTTAGAAGCAGAACTGATGGCAGTCCCAGGGTGAGGACAGGGTGGCCAGGGCAGGCATGTGAAATCTAGGAGATAGGCACTGCTGTGGGCAGAAGCGGTGAGAGGGACAGGGTCAGGCTTGGCTGGACAAGTGAATCAGAAAGGGAAGGAAGGGCTGGGGCCTCAACTGCCCTGCTGGGGCTTTGATTTGCCCCAGAGGCGGCAGGAAGCCTTGGTCAGATTTCCTTCTTGGCAGAGGATTTGGACAGCAGTGTGGAGAGGTGGAACGTGTGTGGGGTGGGAGGCAGTGACAGCCCCAGAGCAGGAGGACATTGTGACTGGCTGTTAGAAGAGGACAGGCCCGGTTAATTCTGCATCTGGCTGCATCATTTGGGAAACCTCCCTGCTACAGCCTTACATTGGCCCCAGAGTAGTCTGTTGTGTCCCTCAGAGGCACCTGTTGAGTGTGGCCGTGTTGTGGGCATGTGGTATACACCAGGTCTCTGATCCTCTCACACCGTAGTGTTAACGATCCGTCTGACGTTTTGGTTTAGAAAACATTGCTTTTTTCTCCTATTTTATGTCCTCATTCCAAACAAATTCCCAGAACCAAAATAAGGCATGTTGGAGACTCCCCAGGCCCTGGAAGTGGGTTCTGATTCCTCATTTGTAGCTGCAAGTGAGGTCCCAGCTGGGGGTCCTGGGCAGCCGCGAGTCTCTGCTCTACTCCATGGGTGGCTGAATGCCAAGCAAGGCCACCGGTCCCAGGGCCTCTCGTGTCCTCGCGGTCTCATTCTGCCTGCTGAGTACCCTGTGCCAGAAGGAACGTCGAGGTCATGGTGGCCGTCCCCTGCCCCAGAGGGCTTCCAGCCCAGATTCTCCAGTGTACTTGGGCAGCTTTGCCAGGACAGGCGGGAAGCACCTCTGCCTTCTAAATTGGTCCCTCCCCACCTGGCTCCCTTCATCCCTTCTGACCCAGGGTGCCTTAGGTGAGGTGGGCCTGGCCCGGGCACAGCGCAGGGATATACTCAAGCTCCTCTGCCAACTAGGCATGGTCACTGAGTGCCTCCTCTGGCCTAAAGCTGGGGCCTGGCCAGGGGACCTGGAGGGCTCTGCAGCCAAGGTGGCCTGTGATTCAGGGAATGCCAGCACGGAGGTGCACGTGAGTGGGAGGGTGACGAGTCCTCACCAAGTGGGAACTTTTAAGCAGAAAGCATGGCTCCCTGGTGTGTTGGCTCAGGCAAGGGATCAGGGCTGCCATGCTGGGGCTTGCCAGGTCACCCACCGAGACCAGCCAAGGATGTGGCAGGACCAGGGTCCCAGGCCACCAACATGTGGCCTCCTCTCAGTACACTGCCACATGCAGCACCTGCCCACCTTTAACATGGACCCAGCTGTGCCTGCATCCCAGTCCCCACATCCAAGTCTTGAGCAGACAGCTCAGTGCGACTGCCCCCTTTCTGTCCCTGTCAGTGCCACCCAGAAAGGACAGGCACTTGCAACACTGGGCGCAGCCAGGCAGGGTCTCTGCCCTGTGTCACACACACACACTGACACACACAGCAGGACCACACATCCTTCATACACATGTATGAGGGTCAGGTGGTCAATAGATGGATGCAGTGAATGCTTACATAAAAAACGCTTACTACACACTGCCAAGTATGACGGGCTAAGTGTGTCCAGTGGGCAGGAGAGTGTTTTAGACCTGGGGGGTTTGTGGCAATGTGTCTTTCACTGTAATAAATTTTAAAGTTCAAACATCCACTGAATGTTTTGATCACACCCAATTATCAAATGTGTATGGTGATTTCTATCAAATAAAAACGTGATGGTGTGTCCTCATCCACCTTGTTCACTGGATTTGGTGCTGTGTGATCTCTGGCTCTTCCCCAATGTCAAAATGACCATGAAAAGTGAATATTTTGATCCATTCAGGACATCAAGACAGCCACAACTTTTTTTTTTTTAATTATGGAAAGCTTCACGAATTTGCGTGTCATCCTTGTGCAGGGGCCATGCCAATCTTCTCTGTATTGTTCTAATTTTAGTATTTGTGCTGCCAAAGCGAGCACAAGACAGCTACAACTTTGCAACTAAGGACTTTTAGAACTGCTTCAGAAAATGGCAAGAGCAATGGGATTAGTGTTTGTAGTGAGGGAGAGGATTTTTGAGGATTCATGGCAATGTGTTTTTTACAGTAATAATTTTTTTAAAATTTAATATTCATATTTGTTGATCACACTTCATACATACATGCACATGCATACCTGGCAAAGAGTGGACCTCTGTCATCAGTACTGTTCCGTGGAAGGAATGTATCTTTGGGAGCTCTCAAGACTGTGCATGGTGACACCAGTCTTTAATTTAGTGTACAGTAGGAAGGGTCCTGTGCCTGGTGTTGGGCTCTGTCCTGGTCCCCCAGGGACTTCACTCCAAGCTGGGCTCTGTCACCCATGGACACATCCCTGAACACCCATGAGCCTGGCTCATGAAGAGGCGTCCTGGCTAGGGCTTACCCAGGGACCACACCCACTACATGCTTGGCAGGCCTTTCTGGGGTATTGCCACCAGCGGGTCTGCTGACCCACTGACCCCTGCTTCTTTCCAGGGCAGGGGCCCCAGCTCCAACCTGACTGTTCTGCAGCCAGACCTAAGTAAGGAGTGCCTGCCTCACTTTCCCCACAGGCAGGGCCAGGACTCAAGTTTACTTTGAGACAAGAGAGGTCCCTGGAGAGGGGGCTCACAGGGTAGGTGAGGCAGGGCAGCAATGACCCAGGCCTGGCTGTTTGGAGCCTGCAGCGGCTAGGCACAGTGTCCCAGCCGCTATGTGGCAGAAGGGCTGGGACAGTGAGGCCTCCTGGGAGTGGGCCTATGGGAGGCAGGGCACGATGCCCAGGGGCCACCCCAAATATGATGTCATTAGGCTGGAACCCTCCTTCTGCTGCCTGGGTGCGGAGGGTGAGGGAGGACCCAAGGCGGAGGCAGGAGGGTGCTGCTGAGCTGGGCTGCACAGTAAGGCCCCACAGTGCCCTGAGGAGGCTCCTGCCCTCTACCCTCCCCTCCTCCCGACCTCCTCTTCTTGCCCCTCAGCCAGTGGTCAGGTATAAAAGTCTGAGTGGGGCAGGGGACAGGTGGGCTCATGTGAGGAGGGGAGGCCCACAGGCCTGGTCACTGGTTCTGGAGGGCTCTGTGAGCCATGCTGGTGAAGGGCCAGGCCTCTCCCTACCACAGGAAATGGTCCCCCCTTTGCTCAGCTCCAACTTGGGGCTTCCCTACTCCTCTTTCTCACAGCCACTCTCAGTCCCCTACCAGTACTCCCTCCTTCATTGCCCTGTTTTTTTTATTTCCCTTCCTCCTTTTCTTTCCTTCTTTCTTCTTTTTACAGCCCAGCCCTTTTTCATTTTTAATTTTGAGACAGAGTCTCACTGAGTCACTAAGTTCCCCAGGCTGGGCTCACACCTGTGATCCTCCTGTTTCAGCCTCCCAGAATGCTGGGATTATTTGCATGTGCCATCACATCTGGCTTCCCATCTGGGTCCAAGTCAGTGTCTCCAGTCGGTGAACCACGGCATTGGCTCCTAACCTCTCCCCAGGACTCCTCCCGCACCGCAATCCACTCTCCACACACTGCCCAGTGTCAGTCTGATGCTTTGTCCACCCCTGCACGTCAGCCCCTTTGAGGAGTCCCATTATGCCTCCCCTGGAAGGGGACTTTCTCGGGGCCAACCCGAACTCTGCGGCCGGCTGTCTGTTCCTGCCCAGGCCTTTGTCCTGGCCTCCACCCCTGGGACTTCTCTCGTGTGCCTACTGCCCAGCCAGGCTGTCCCCCAAGTTAGAGCTGGAGTCTGAGGCCTCCCTGTGGCCCTCTCCTGCTCTCTCATTCCCCTCTGGGATAGCACTCTGGCATGATCTCATTTATTTATTTACTGTCTGGTCTCTGGCCATTGTGAGGTCACCCCGGAGGGCAGGGCCTTGTCCATCTTGTTCGCACTTGCAACTCCAGCAGTCAGAACAGAGCCTGCTGCTTGGTGATGACCTGGGAAGAGACAGGCTGGGGTGGCAAGCTCGCTCCTGGACCCCAGACACCATGCTCACCAGGCACCTTGCCATGGGCTCTCCTGGCCATGCTTGGACTGCTTCGGCCAAGTTGATGGCTGCCACCAACACTGCCGCACCACTGCTGCTGGTGTTCTGGTCTCCAGGGAGCCGGGGGGCCCAGCCTGGTCTCTGACCTGGAAAAGGAGTCAGTGGAAGTAAAGAGGAAGGAGCAGTCTCTGGATCCTCTGGGCCTCAAAATCCCTTTGCCACTTGCCACAGTGCACCTGGCCTTGGCCATGGGGGAGCCCTGTGAGTCCTTTTGTCACAGAGACACTCACCCTGGGACCACAGTGTAGTCATATTTTGGAGAATCCCTTACCTGTTGCTCCAGTGTTGCCATGGCAATGGCTCTTCCTCAGCAACCTCCTCTTCCCTCTTCAGCTGCCTGCAACCAAGACACAGGTACACAGCAACGGATTCTGTGTCACTGTTGGCACTACCATGGGGGGGCAGAGGTGTGCTGGAGTGTGTCCCTGGAGCCCACTCCTCTGACCCCATCTGCAGGGTCACCTGAGGGTGTGACCAAGCCCAGGTCCCTTTGATTGACATGTGTCTATGGAGCAGGAGAAACCCCAGGCCACTCAAGAGGGCTGTGACCTTGGCCTTGGGATGGGCTCTCTGGAGTCCTTTCCTTAGGGCCATGCCTTCCTCCTTGCTTGGCACCTCCTCTCTTCTCTTTATGGGAGACCACAGCAGGAGGGAGAGGGGGATTCCATGGGACAGCACCACACCAAAGCTGGAAGGACCCAAGGGGCCTCTATCAAGGTGTCCTGACTGACATCTCCCCCACCTCAGTCACTATTTGTAAGCTATTCGGGGACTGTCTGTGCTTTTTTTTTTTTTGTACTGGGAATCGAATTCGGGTAGACAGCAGAACCACTGAGCTAAATCCCCAGCCCCATGTTTTCCTAATAGTCTTCCATAAGTCTACTGAGTTTTTATAAACCTAAATTTATTTTAAAAGGAAAAGATAATCATTATTCTAGGTGGGTAACTAGGGTCACTGGCCATGAACTCAATCATGTTACTGAAACATTGAGGTCAGCTCCCAGAAGGCAGTGGTGAGTTTGTTGCAGGATCCCTAGTTCATACTGTTACTATGAACAGGACTGGTACACAGTAAGTGCTCGGAACACATTTTTTGAAATGGGGCTGAGTAAAGGCCTAAGTGCAAAGGTATGTGAATGATCTGAACGTGGGGGAGGCCGATGAGCCTCTGTCAAAAGGAAGGTGAATATTAGAAAGGCAAAACCACACCAGCTTCATGTGAACCCTTCATGGCATTATACAGGATGGAGAGAGAGAGAGATATCTGAAAATGGTAGGACTCCCTCCCATGGGACTTGGAATTCTTCAGAACCTCTTCTGGATCCCAGGTACCCCCTGATCTCCTGTTGGATGCGTCAGAGAAGGGGACCCAAAGTTCAGTGATACATGATGGGGCCAGGCTCAGGACCTGTTGACTGTGATGGGCAGACCCCTCAGCATGAAGGAGGCCACCCTGCTGTGTCCAGGGGAGCTTTCCTGGCAGGGCCACCCCGTGTGTTCTTGCTCAAGGACACATGAGTGACATACATGCACGAGGATGCAGATATCAGCCTCTCCACCATTGAAGGGCCAGTCTGAGCCAGGCTTCGGGGCTTCCTGTTTCACCTGCCCAGGGAGGAAGCTGGGTGCCTGTACCCCCACCTCACCGTGCAGGGCAGGATTGTCACTGAATCCTCAGTGTCTGGGTCCTTGCCTGGCAGGAGCCTGTGGGGGTGGCAGGCGCCAGGCCCAGGAAATCTGACATCACTGTGACTCACTCCTCATGTAGGCTGGGGGTGGCCACCACTCTCACCTCCGTAACTGCTCTGTCCTGAGCATTCCCACAGAGACGACAAGGTCTGCTGCCTCCCAGGCACCTGCCTGGGGTGTGGGTTTGGGAGGATGAGGAAGGTGCAATGAGACCACTGAGATTGTGGAAGGGAAACCAGGAGCCCCGCAGGCAGGAGGTGAGTGACACTCCCACAGTCGTCAAAATAGACAGTTACAGAAAAGAACAACACAGAGAATCATCATTTCCCAACTTAGGTCTCACAGGTTTCTAATTAAAAAAAAAAAAAAGCTGAACCCCAAACTCACTTGACAGAGTGCTCTGTAGCTGGAAAAGCCTGAAACAAAACCAGAAAAAGCTCTAGTGTGGCCCAGTGTGATGTCCTTTCCCTACTTAGGGGTGAGGAGTGGGGTTCTCCATCCAGAAGCAGTGGCTACAGGCACCCTGGGTCACAGGGACCGTCAAATCGTGCTCTCCAGGTGCCCAGAGCCACCCAAGGCTGGGGGATCCTTAGAACAGGAGTGGGGGAGCAGCATGAACTCTTCTGGCCCAGCCTTGGGAATGCAGGGAGCTTCTGATTTGGGAATAAGGGAGGAAGGCAGAGGGGAGCCCTCCTTCTTGGCCAAGTCAGGTCCCCTTAAGCTGGTGTTCTGGAGCTGAAGAATGGACACTGACAGGGTGACGTGGATGCACTGCTGGGCAGGGCCCCTGAGACTGTGCGTCAGGGCAAACCTTCAGCAATACACCTGCACCCCTCAAGAGACAGGATTGCACCCCACAAGAGACACGCCTTCCTCTAGTGGGCAAGAGGCTCCGCACAGCATGGGGGTCCGGTCTGGAGTCTCCAATAAGGCTGATTCCACTTCTGCCCCAGGGAGCTGGGAAGCTGTGTTCCCCACATGCATGGCAGGTGACGCTGGCTAGCAAGACAGCCTGGCTGACAATCCTCCTCAGTGCTCTGTAATTTGCCCCAGAATCAACCATTAAGCCATTCCTCCGCCGATGCCAAGGATAAGGCCCTATCAGCCGCTGGGATCTGCGGCCCAGACTCTGCGGCTCTGTCCTGGGCTCTGCTGCCTCAGCCTCCAGACTGGCCTGGCTGGGAGGGCCAGGTCTCCTGCCGCAGGGGCTACACAGCCCCGGAACAAGTGGGGGTGAACAGATGGGAACACTGAGGCACAAGAGGGCGACACGGTCCTGGGGCCTCTCTCCTGGACATCCCCTGTCCCCCCAGCACAAGCTCCAAGCTCCGCGGAACAGAGGAATTGAGCCCACCTGCTCCCAGGCACTCAGCCACTCCCACTGGGAGGAGCTCTGTGATGCCCGGGTTTACACAGGCAGAGCAGAAGGACTAGGGGTCCTCAGGCAGCCGGGGTGTGTGTGTGCGCGTGTGCGTGTGCGTGTGCGTGCGTGTCTTTAAAAAGGCCCAGATGCCTGGCTCAGAACAGGGACCGGGCTGAGTTCTGAAATCCCTCGCAGCTGGGCCTCCAGCTAGGCGCACCGTCCCCACCCACCTGGACCCGCTTCGGAGTTCAGCCACCCACGAACATGTCTTGCTCTTAACCGGGGGCCCGGAGCCCCCTACGCACACCTCGGCCCGGCCACATCCTCACTGGGGCTGGGGCGTGGGCGGGGTACGGAAGTGGATTGCCCTGGTCGGTAGGTCTCAGTCGAACTGCTTAAGTGGGGTCTGGGCTGGGGGGTGCCCTCTGCTGCTCTGGGCCGCAGGAGGAGGCACTGCTGGCGACGCCCTTCTTCCCCCTGAAATTCCCACTGGTGAGGCCCGAGAAGAGCCCGGCAGCACGTCAGCAGAGTTCCCCTTCACAGTGGCCCACGGGATTTCCCTGGGCCCCGGGGAAAGAAGCTTTGCTGACTCCCAACTGGAAACTCGTCACAGGCCGCTGCTCCCCTAGACCCCTAGACCCTCCTCGCCCTCTCTAGGCCAAAGACCAGGGCCTTGGTTGGGTCCAGGGGACTAGGGTCTGGCTTCACGTGGCCACCAATCTGTGGTAAGCCCCAGAATGATGTCAGTTGTGTATGGGGTGTTTTCTGCCCAGGGGTCTGTAAGTAGATGAGAAAAGGGACTGTCATTGGGGGTGCCCCATCCTCCTTGGAGAATCATCTGCGTCAGCAGGCATCTGTCAATTTTTTTTTTCTTGGTGGGGGTTGGGGATGAGACAGGGTCTCACTCTGTAGCCCAGGTTGGTTTCAAACTGCCAGTGATCCTCCTGCCTCAGCCTCCTGAAGGTTGGGATTACAGGCGTGCCCCACCTCACTAGGCATTTCTGTCATAACAAGGTCCTAGGGGAAAACTCTGGGAGAGGAAGGGAATAGGGAGAGGGAGCAGGGGAAGCCCACTCGTCCTGAGGTCTGTGGTGGGGGTGTGTGGCTGAGAATTCCGGTTTCCAAGCACAAACCTTCCAGGAGCTCTCTTGCTGGCTGGGGTGCAAAGGTCGGGATGGGGGGCGCCCAGGCCCTCTGAGCTGCTCCCCACTTCCCTCCCCGGCCGCCCGGCCCTGCACCACGTGAGCGCGGGGGCGGCGCAACACCTTCCTGCTGTGCCCTTGTATGGTGCCCCGGGAGGCCGACTCGCCAGTACTTAAACCCAGGCGCCACCGGGGGCGCCCAGAGGGG